TTCGTTATAGCGTTAACAAAGATTCTTATAACGAAGTCCTGATCGGCTGGATCAGCAACTTCGTTATATCGAGGTGTGACTATAATAGTAATAATATTACACAATTAAAATTGAAAATTATTTATACAGGGAATTGTAAACGTTACAGTGTAAACGCCAATGATTTTATAATAAATATAAGATAATGCACATTTCATTCTTTCATTACATTTCTTTTTAGTAATTATAATATAATACAAAAGAAACTCACATCGTCATAAAGGAGCTAGAATAGGATAAGATTCTCACAATGAATCAAAAAAATAGTTTTTATTAGAAAATCAGAAATCATTTTCACAAAATATTTATAACGCATTGTTATATAACAACTTACTGTAACATCTTTTGAAATAAAGTTTATTTTTTTTAACATAAAAATACATTATAACCATTTAGCTTTATATTTTTTTGTAGTATTCATTTATAACAAAGTTTTAAAATTAACTCTTGTGTTAATGTTATTTACTATAAATTCATAGAATAATTAAAAAAAATATATCTTGTTTTCAAGTCAAATTTATATGTAAAATAAAAAAAAATATTGACTAGTCTATTAAAAGAATTATATTGTAAAAACACTTATCAAGTATTAAAGAAAAGCTAGACTTCAAGTGAAAAAAATTGGGACAAAAAATTAATAATGGATAATAATAAAAAGATAAATAAAAGCTTAAATTATGTATAAAAAAAAAAGTTGATGAAACCACTAACAAAGCATTATTCTGTAAAGAACAATTTTGAAAAGAAATTGAATTTAATAGGAGCATTCGTTATCAATACTATAAGAGCATAAAATGGTTATCGAAAGTCATTGAGCATCTAAACTAGGAAAGCATATCAAAATTATGCAACAGAGAAGGAACCCTAATCATTTGATGAGTTTGACATCATTGTTAGTTTGAAATATATGCAAGAAAAAATTTTAAATTTTAGACAATTAATTACTTTAATAAAGGCATAGATCAATAATAAAAAATATTTTATTTAATCAGATAAAAATTCAGTTATGATATTTTATCAAGATAATTTATTTCAGACTTGTAAATCGTCTGTAAACCTTAGAATATTGTTTTACAAAAGAAGTATCAATCTATTAATTCCTATTGATTTATTAATAGCCATGGATTCAAGTGTATGATTATTCTAATGATGATGATTTAAAGAGTGATACTTTCACATTTCATTTAAGTCATACAAAGCACAGTTCAGTCTTTAATCTTTTGGAGTAATACTATGAGACGGTCAATTAAGATAAAATGATAACTTTATTCTAGTCACTTTGTTGCTATTACGTTGAAACATTGTAAAAAAAAGTGATTGTTGATAAAGAGAGGTGAGAAAATGATGATATTAAACTTCAGCTTGATATCATTATATTTATTTTTCTCTTTTCATATTATTAATAAAATTTGAAAATATCTAAAACCCATTTGATAATGCTACATGAGAAATCCTAAAAATCTAAATAGACGCGTATATTTACCTTGATTCAAGAGAATTTTGATAAAATTGAGTCCTATATACAGTCAAAGATCGTTATAGTAAACTCTCGGTTCCAGTAACAGTTCACTATATTTAGCGAAATTATTATAGAAAAATAAATCAAACAAATAAATTTTATTCATTATAACGTAAATATACTTAATATCAAGGCTATTATGTACAAAATAATTTCAGATACGATTCAATATATATATATGAGATTTTCTCTTTACCATTATAAAAAAATAAGAAATACAGTATAAGAAAAAGAAAATATAAAATAAAAGAATATCGACAAATAAAATAATAATAACTTTCACGTATAACAAGATATTTTTGAGAAATTTTACTATTATGATTACTATTTAATTTTAACGAAAGTTTTGTTGTTAAAATTGCGTTTGAGGATTATTTATAATATTATTCAAGAAAGTATAAGAGGTATTATTTATGTTTAAATTTTTAAAATTAGGTATGACGAGAATTTTGAAACCAGGAATGTGAAATCTTAAGATTTCGATTGAGAATTATTGTATGAAGCTGGATGGTTTTGAACGACAGTTTGTGAATAGAAATTACTGATATTTAATGGAATATTTTCCATTTGAACGACTTTTGATGGATTAAAATTGGTTTTAAATCTAGCAAAGTTGGAACTTTGAAAACTAAAGTCATTCTGTAAAGAATGATATGAAGGATTATTTTGTTCCATAGTCTTATTTGAAAAAGATTTAAGGAATACTGAAATGTTATGACGTAAATTAAGACGACCTGATCTGTCCTTATGCATAAAATTCTAAAAAGTTTTCATTTTTTTGTTACATTGATCGAAATATGGGTTGATTGCAGGAAAATGTTCTGAGAATTTTAGAAGTTTATTGTATTTTAGTTTTTAATAATAATTCTAATCACGAGGAACAATTGAACTCTCAGAGTGATTAGAAATTGATATTTGTTATCCAATGGGTTCAAAAAACAATCTGTCGTTCATTTTAAATCGTCTACCAAATTTCATATATTATAAATTATATATAATATATTTTTTTTTGAATTAATTATTGTTATAATCATGTTCTTATAAAAAAAAATTATTTAAAATAATATTGCCGATCAGTTAAGGTTTAATCAAATGATGGTATCATAAATTTTAACGACCAATTAGGTTCAGATACAATGATGATCAAAAAAAAAATATATTGTTTTAACGCGAAAATAAAAAACAATATGTAATTTAATATTTCCTGTTTTATATAATATTGTTCTTTAAATTAAAGTAAAAAAAAAATCTATTAACACTCAACTTGTGATTTGTTTTGCTAACTAAAATAAGTTTTTAATGACTACAGGAGAAGAGACCAAGGTGATACTCTAATACGAGATAAAATATTAAAGACTATTGCGAAATTTATTTCGCTTTTAAAAAAATATATATATATATTTTACAAGAAAGCTTTGAAAGTATTTTTTTGTGCACATAGATATTTTTTTTTCTTTATTATAAAATAATTTAGTTTCATTTAGGTTAAATGCGATGATGACAGTTATAATGTGTTTTGATTAAAATCTTTGCCAAAAATCAGAACTCATATTTGGCAACTTCTATAATGCAAATCGAATACATGCGATAATAACTTAAACCTTATGATCTACATGCATAGTACTTTCATTGATTAATATCATGTTACAAGAACAATAAAAAATAACATAGGTTAAGGTCCAGAGGTTGAGAAGGCAATAATTTACGGTAATTTTTTTAATGTCGAATGACGCAGTTAAAAAACCCAAGTTACGCAAAATGGTTGTTTTAATAATACATATCGTCTTCCATATTTATTGTAATAAAATTTATTTACATATTACAAGTAGTACTAAGAAACTTGAATGATACTACCATTCAAAATGAACTATATTATTACTTTGTAATCTTATTTATCTATCTATAAGAACATTAAAAGAAGGTTTTATCATAAAATTTACTACATAAAAAAATATTACATATAATAAAGTAAATTGAAATCAATTAAAGTTCTGTGATTTCTCCACACCTTCCTTTTTACTTTCTAGGACAAAGTTTTGTTATATTTTCTACAAAAATAAGACAAACTATTAGAATATATATAATATCGAACTTCATATGTTCATCTTATCAAAGTTTTGTATAAGTTGAGATAATTCACTATGTGATGAAAAATTTTTATTATCAAGTTATTGTTTCGATAACTGTTTATTTAAATTATAATTGCCAATTTACTCATTTACTGCAAGATTAGTGCTTGTAGTAATAGATTTTAATTTACCAACTGCTTCAACTACTTTACTCATATCTGAACAATTATCTGGTTCATTATTCTAACACTTTAAAAATAAACTGAATTTTTAAAAAATATTGTTACAATTATAATTGAATTTAATAAATATATTTACCAGTATAAACTTTTACATAATCTTCGGGAGTATCAGGAATAATTCCTTTTCTGTGACCTTCCGAAATACTTTTAATTAGGTCTAAATCATATTTTTCAATATGAAAAGGAGCATATCCACTTGATATCTCCCATAAAAGCATACTAATACCGTAGACATTACTTTTTTTATTTAGTTTATATGATTGAAATGAGTTAAACTTTTTTGGGTCAATATAGGGAATCATACTAAAATCCTTTTCTGATTCAGTTTCTTCAATTCTTTTTGATAACCCAAAATCCGCCAGTTTTATACTATTCCGGTAAACTAATATATTGTTAGAGTGCTATTTATTTATATAATAAAATGTTAATATTTTAATAATTTTTTTAATAAAAGCACATAAAATTATTTATCAAATCACGATGCACAATTTTTTTACTATGTAAGCATGATACAGCACTAGCCAATTGAAATGCCAAATCATATTTATCATTCCAGGTAAGCTTATTAAAGGTTTTCTTCAAATGGTTTCGAAGAGTACTTCCATCAGCATATTCCATTACTAACAAATACTTTGGACGATCATTTTGATTTTCTAATTTAAAAATAAAACCTTTAGTTACACTTTAAATTTTAAAGTTTTAATAGTAATAATTATTACAGTCACACCTCGATATAATGAAGTTGCTGATCCAGCCGATCAGGACTTCGTTATAAAAATCTTCGTTAACGCTATAACGAATTATGCAGTATGTATAACAAATAATTCGTTATAGCGTTAACGAATTATTCATTATAGTAGATGATTACTGATTTCATTATACAAATATAATTTTACTATTTCCAGAAATATTTTCATGTTATTAATCGTTGAACAACAGTTTTATTAATTTACTTAA